ATGCATTTTCCTCCTACATACAACAAAGAAATGTATGAAATTACCGCAACTGCAAGTACTAGTTAAATGTAAAATCAGTAAGAATGTTATAAGAATATTTCCTGATAAAATATATAATTGTTTTAAAACACATGTTCTTACTTATCGCCTGATTCAGAGCCAAAGCTAATTTTCTGAGCGTGTTAGCATGCTAGCACTAGTAGCCGATGCTAATGTAGTGCTATGTTGATGTTTTTTTACAGAACGGAGCAAGTTTTGCATTACTACTCAAAGCTAAAATTAAGAAACATGGAAAACGAAAACCCCGTTATTTTTAACCAAACAAAGCGCAAAGACTCACTTGTCTTTCTCTGTCCCAAAAATGGAGGCCAAGTACTCTGCCATCCTCGCTCGCCTGGCTGCTCAAAACAGGCTAGCACACTTCCGGTCTAGCTCCTTCAGAATAAAAGGAAATTCATCGTCAGCATTTGATTTTTCACAACAAAACGATTGTAAAGAAATATGATTGTGAAAATACACGTTATAAAAATAAGTAAAAACGACATTTAACTGTATAACTCAACGTGTTTATTTACATGTTATTCTATCTAATGTTACTTCTACTTTATCAAATTGTATATTTTTCACAGATTTATAATCATTACTGTTCTATTGATCCTTCTGTTTGATCAGATGACAACAACATTGGGAAAACAGGATCTTTATATATATGCATCAGCAACAAAAAATAGGCATTTCAGCATTCATTCATCATGAAGTTAAAATAATAACTCAAGCCATAGATTGTTACACACAAAAACTTAAGGTTACTTGGAGAGATTTATTGAAATATTTCAACTCTATTCACTGAAGGAATGGTGCATGCAGGAATCCATTGAAATACTCTGCAGAGGTACAGACGTAGCAGTTACTCCCAACATTTACATTTTAAGAGAAATAAAACATCCAAATATTTGTAATTCAGTGTTTAACAGAAACTACATCTTGCTTGCTATAGTTTTTTTAATTAACATTTATAAGTACATCTTACTTTTTTTAGTCTCGAAGATGCAAAATTTGCAATGTTTGCACATTTTTACATGTTCCAGAAGTCATATAGACAAGAGGCAACATATTTACACCCATATGACAGTAAAAAAACAAAAGAATCAGAATCAAGTTTATTGCCAAGTAGGTTTGCACTTACAAGGAATTTGACTTGGTGTTGTTGGTGCAGACAAAAAACAAAATAAGATAGAATATATATATATATATATATATATATATATATATATATATATATATATATATATATATATATATATATATATATATATATATATATATATATATATATATATATATATATGTATATACACAGAAGCTATATACACACAGTAGACTGTGCGTTAATGTAACGCAGAAATCCTGAATGGGGGAGAGAAACATTGTCCAGTGTTACGGCTCTTGGCCTTGTTGATAAGGCCGGTAGCAGATGGGGAAAAAACTGTTTTTGTGACGGGAGGTTCCGGTCCTGATGGACCGCAGCCTCCTGCCAGAGGGAAGTGACTGAAATAATCTGTGACTGGGGTGCGAGGGATCAGCCACAATCTTCCCTGCACGCCTCAGAGTCCTGGAGGCGTGCAGCTCCTGGAGAGATTGCAGCCAATCCTTAGCGGTGGCACCAGCGTACCAGATGGTGATGGAGGAAGTGAGGATGGACTCAATGATGGAGGAGTAGAACTGCACCATCATTGTCCTGGGCAGGTAGAATTTCTTCAGCTGCCGCAGGAAGTACATCCTCTGCTGGGCTTTTTTGGTGAGGGAGTCGATGTTCAGCTCCCACTCTAGGTCCTGGGAGATGATAGTTCCCAGGAAGCGGAAAGACTCCACAGTGTCAATGGTGGAGTCACAGAGGGTGATGGGGGTAGCTGGGGCTGCGCTCTTTCTAAAGTCCACAACCAACTCCACTGTTTTTAGAGCGTTGAGCTCCAGGTTGTTCTCCCTGCACCAGGTCACCAGATGGTCAGCCTCCCACCTGTGTAATGTATGTGTAATGTGTCATTTACTTTCGTAAATATGTTTTATAATGTATTAAACTCTTATAAGCACTACATGCAGCGACATTTTAAGTTAATTGTTGAAATTATTTTATACAATTTAATTAATCATAGCAGATAATTGTAGATTATTTGAGCTTAGACAAAATGCCACAATGCAGATGCTTTGGTATCTAACAGGCTGCTAAAAAGGGGAGTACTATCACCTGTAGCTTTTGTCTTAAAGGAATAGTACACCCAAAACATGATTAGCCTTCATTTTCTACTCACCCCCATGCTGAACAACACTCTGGAGTACTTTTTTGATATCTCAAATGCATCTGGAGATCTGGGAGGCTTCTTGCTGTCTGCTGACATTCAAATAATGGAGGTCTATGGTGACCGAGACAGAAAGGTCCATAAAAGTCCACAAAAAACGTGTCAATATTCCTCCATACTGCTCGTCCAATGTATTCCAAGTGTCCTGAGTGGGTAGCATCCAGAATTTACTCGAAACGAAGTCATTTAGAATGTTTTTAGAGCATAAACAGTAGTGTATAGGATTTCCTGAAAGCGCGCACATGCGCGCTCACGACGCTACGGAAGCCGGCAGACCAAACCAGCGCATTCAGCTCGGCAAAGAACTCATGCTCTTCCTCAACACTGAAGTCCTCAGACATTTTTCTTTCGTTGTTTCTTTCTTTGCGCAGGTAAACAGCACATTTCTTCTTCTACGCTTGCATTATTGGCAGAGCAGACACTTAATGCGCACTTTCATCTGGTTTGGTCTGCCGGCTTCCGTAGCGTCGTGAACACGCATGTGCGCGCTTTCAGGAAATCCTATACACTACTGTTTATGCTCTAAAAACATTCTAAATGACTTCGTTTCGAGTAAATTCTGGATGCTACCCACTCAGGAAACTTGGAATACATTGGACGAGCAGTATGGAGGAATATTGACACGTTTTTTGTGGACTTTTATGGACCTTTCTGTCTCGGTCACCATAGACCTCCATTATTTGAATGTCAGCAGACAGCAAGAAGTCTCCCAGATCTCCAGATGCATTTGAGATATCAAAAAAGTACTCCAGAGTGTTGTTCAGCATGGGGGTGAGTAGAAAATGAAGGCTAATCATGTTTTGGGTGTACTATTCCTTTAAGGTGATACTGAATTGAAGCGAAATGAGTGTTTTGACCATGTTTTTATTGACCATCATGCATGCAGCTGATTTGCCTCTTTAGTGACAGCTTTAAATGCTGTTTGAATGTTACAAAATGATAAGTATCATGAACTAAAATGTTCAGCTTTGTATTTAGTAGACTGTTTGTTATATATTTTAATTGAAGATACCCAGATCATCAAAAGGGACCTATGTGAAGATACACAGTGCTAAAAGCCCTACAATTTTGGGCTGAAACAATCAATCATATTAATCGGTTATTGAATTAATCTACAAATAATTTAGAAATTGATTAATCGTTTACTTGACTATAGAGGCTATAAAACATACCTTTAGCTGACAGAGCAACCCACTTAGAGAAGGAATTACATCAAAATTGTAAAAAAAAAAAAAAAGATACACTTATGGCTGCAAATAATTAAGATTTTATAAAATGATTAATCTGTCAGTTATTTTTCTATTTTTTTTTCCTGATTAATCAATTAATAATTGGATAGCCAAAAATATCATAAAGAATACTTTCATCTTTCAGGAGAGACTTAATGTGTGCCTTTATGGGCTGATCTTGAAAGCACACTGGAGGCAGGGGAAGACTTGAGACAAGGTAAAATGTTAGGATAATTATCATTAAAGATGTGTGAGTTTATCACACCCCGGTATGGGCTGCCTGTTGCGCATCAGAACTAACATTTTAATCTAATTAGGACATTTCCTCTGTCTGGATATATGGTTATAAACTTCATTCTGTACATGGCAAAGATTTGGAAATGGAATGAAAGCGGTGTCCTATTTTGATAAGGCTGGAGCCATGGATGACTAATCATCTGCTAAGGTGTATAATGTAAAATATGATGATGTGGCAGACTGGAGATGTATAAAATGCCTTTTTAACTGTTAATCGGGCATACTTCCCTAGAGGTGAGCCCAGAGGTGAGCAGCCCACATTCTGTAACCATAAGCAATTGCTCTGATCTGAGTAAGATTACAATTTCTATCAAAATCTGTTGTCATGTCTCCTGGTTATTTAATACATATAAGTTATGAGGTGTTATTTAAAGAGTTTGTCCAGAGTGATCTCTTTTCAGGGAAAAGAACTGGAAAGATAGAACTTTAGGGTGCTGAATAGAACCTTACCAACACCTAGAGCTGCAACATGATGGTTCAGATCAGTGTTTTAAATGGACCACTGATCTTAAAGTCATTTTGAGAAGAAAACAAACAGGAACAAAACACATTTTTGCAAACACCCAGACATGCAGCTGTAACTTCAGGTTAAAGTTGTTCTACAAAATGCAAAGCATTGTTTGTGTTCTGTTTTTTAGTAAACAGTTATGCACTACTTTGCACCAATGCATTTCTTCACTGTGAGATCACTATATCTTTGGACATAATAGTTAGTGGTTGTTACATGACAAGATGAGAGAGGGGTAAAAAGGCAATGAAAGTTCTTGTTATTATCTTTATTACACATAATCAACACGTAAACAAACAAAACTCACTCTTAACTGTATTTTGTTTCAAAAAAATGTGAGCCAAGTGTTACCAGTTAGTCTCCGCCCCTCATTTCTGTGGCTATGTTGTTGGCCCAAAAACTTGAAGATACGTCGGGACCTGGTGCAAATTGGACCTCTGATCTGTAAAAAGTTTGACATTTTGAAGGTATTGATATTCACAGGAAAGATGTTAGATCTGAGGACTGTTTAACATGCTAGTACAATACTAGATGGGATTTGTTTAGTCTCGCCCTGCCTCTTCCCGCTATTTTAGAGCTAAAGCAGCAACGCTAACCCTGCTAGCTTAGGCACACTGAGGCTACTGCCAAGAGGCCGCCCACCTCGCCGAGAAGTTCCCCTCATGTAACAAGCGTAGTCCCGCCGAAGCTGGGTTAACTAGAACTACAGACGGTTCCTTGTTGGGTTCTGCAAAAATACAGAAGTAGCCTTAAAGTACCGCTAGCTGTTAGCTGGTAAGGCTAAGCTGACGCCGATACTCCCTGCAAACAGACAGTAGGTACACGTCCCGAGATGATTCGATTAATTTTAGTCCAGACTTTATAATTAAATTGTCATAGTTTCATAAAATCGATTATTTCGTGGTGGATTTTAGGCTTATTTTACCAGTAAAAGGAAAAACTAAGCTGTGTTGATCCGAACGGCGGATCTCGGAAGTCTTGTAACGCTGTAAAACCTTTAGCCAGGATTTCCGGCTCCTTTCAATTTGCCCTATGCTGTTTTGTTTCCGTTTATTCTATTTCCGTTTTAAAAGTTTTCTACATCCAGAGTTTATGATGTCTTTTGACCAAAAAAATCAGAAGTTATAAGCCCTCTTGCGCACTCAGAATATTTTAACCGTAGTTTAGCACCGAAGGCAGTAGAGGACCAACGGTTGAGTTATGCCCTGCCTCGCCACGCGCTGCTGTTGTGTTGCTAACTTATTTCAGCACAGGCCTGCTACTTATTTGCTGCACATGTACACTGCTTTCCTCAATTTTTTTTTATTGTCTATTCCCGTTTGACCTATTCGGGATAAATAGTTATATTTGGTCAATAATTTTGTTTTTGAGGCCTAACAGTTGGCCCAGAATGCCACAGCCTCGACCTCGCGTTAGTAAACCCTGCCCCGGAGTGAGGTGTCCCTGGCGGCCAATGAGAAGCCGAGGCTCAGAGGCCTTTCTACCATGGACAAATCACTGCTGCTCATATATGTTGTTAACTTGGATAAAAAATACAAGCTTTTATTTTTACTGAATACTCCGTCTTTCAAATTATAATTTGTAATGTTGCATTTTGTGCCACTTCACTAGTTCTACTTATTACTTTTATTTATTTGCTTAAAGAAAGGTGCTAGTTAAACAAAAGCTAATTCTAAGAATGATCCTGAATACTTCATTTTCCCGTAGGATGTTTGAGGACTAATAATTTAAGTAAATAAATACATTTCTTAAAGATTCATCTAACAGAAAGATGACGTTTCAAAACAAGAGACATAAAGTGACCTTTGATAAACATTGAATATAACATGTTTAACAATGATCTAAAGTAATTATTCCATCATTTTCTATTATAAAAATCCAGTTTAATATTGCAGGTTTAATTATATGTAAAAATGCAAAACTTAAAAAAAAAAAAAAATCAAATTTCTATCATTAGTATTTTTTACACTTGTTAGTGTTTGTATATATGAGCATCTCAGTTTAATTGCCAGGGTTCCTTTAGGGCCAAAAATCATGGAATAATTATTTTATTTTAATAACCTTTATGTTTTTTTAAAGTTTAAAATCAGCCGTGATTAACCATTACAACATATTTAATTAGACCTTAAATTTATAATTTGTACATTCATTCTTTAGTTGACAATTTATGTTGTAAACAAAAAAAGAACTGTAGTAGTGGGAATTTTCCTATGTGCTGTACTTCTGGGTTAGGTGTGGTTATGTATTGATTGCACTATAAAGTCCTTGTTTTTAAGGAACCTTGTTAATTTTATGGTGGACATTATTCTTTCTCAACAACCCCTAAAAAAGCTATCCTCCTAAAAGAGGCCTAGAATAGTTTCATTTTATACATCAAAATTAAATGATGCTTGTTAGTTGCCTATGCAAATTCTCAGTCGTCATGGTCATGGCAGCCACAGCAAGGAGTGAGTTCTTACAGCTTTCACTGGAGAAATCTTCCTGTTTATTTATGATCTATCAAACAAAATTAAGACAAGAAGACAGAGAAGTTTGGTAAATAATTGGCAAAAAAGCACCCCATACACATGAGAACTAAAAGAAAAAATGTTGAGCCCTTTACAGCTAAAAAGGTGCGTTAAAATCATTTGCTGATACTAGCAAAGTAAAGAGGGGATTTTTTTTCCTGATTAAAAAAAAAAATATATTGAAATGTATTGATCTCACATTAGAGAAATTTACCTCTGCTATCATGGGGTGCCCAGGGAGCAGTGTGGGGTTAAGGGTCTTGCTCAGAGACCCAGAGTGGCAGTCTGTGGGAGTGGGGCTCGAAATCAGAACCTCAGGATTCTAAGCTCTATGCCGTAACCACTTGGCTGCCACTCCGCCTCAACTAATATATAATTGAAATATACAATAGGAGTGATTTTGTTTCCTTTAATCCACACATGGCTTTAGCAATGACTGCTATTTTTGGTCTGTTTTACATAAATTTAAACACCTTTGGTGGTTAAAAACAACTATTTGGAGCCACTAGGGGGCACCACAGTTCAACATGTTGTTTCAACTTGTGTGTAATTACCTTAAACAGTTTGAAGCACCTTGATGCTAAAATTACTCTTCATCATCCTTTAAGTTGCCATTAGCAGTGTGTTTTAGCTTCATAACCAGCAATTTGATAAAAAAAAACACATTAGTATGAAACTTGAAGCTGAAACTATTTAGCAGAACAGACAAGTATTGAAATAATAGTTACCGGTAGATAAATTGGTAATTAAATAACTTAAGCATAGTTTTAAAAACAAGCCCTTTGCTGTAAGAACAGCTCACTTATAGCAGTTCAAATAAGTCTGATTATTAAATTTTTTATCAAAAAAAGGTGTCTAATAAAAAAAAATGATAAGCAAAATAAATGTCAGTTAAACTTTGTTATAATTTGTTGTTTACCTTTTCTGATCCTTTCTCTGTATAAAGTTTCAGTGAAATTAATCTGAATCAAACACTATATCTTCTGTCTTCCAGGGATCTATCAGTCAGGATGGCTAAAAGCGAGCCAGAGGAGATGATAGAGATAGAGATAGATGAACGGGAGAAACAAGCATGCCTAGAGGAAGGGTAAGCATAAAAACTGATGTGAACACAGCTGTGATTGCACAGAGCGAACATATGTTTGTTCTAACAGTTTAACATTTGTAGCATTGAGGAGCAGACAATCACTGCATCGGATTTAGTTCAACAAGACATTGACATCAACGAGCCGATTGGGAATCTGAAGAAACTCTTGGAGCCTCGGGTCCAGTTCTGTCTGGATGGATTCGACATTTGCTTACAAGACATTCAGGTAAGATCGGTTTGTGATTAAATAAACTCATATTTTAAAGTTAGTATTTCAACTGCTCTTGTTTTTTTTTTTTTCCAGTGTTCTAATTTGTTGCCTTTCTTGTTTCAGCTTCACCCGGATCACAGCCTCTTTGATCAGGGAGTGAAGACAGATGGCACCGTGCAGCTCAGCTTGCAGATTATAACCAGACCAGGTACAAGTTTAACCAGACCTCATTAAAATGATTCTCCTGTAATCCAGATTTTAACAAAATCATCACATTAAGTGTTTCTTCTTTTGCCCAGGAGAAGAGAAGCTGAACATTTTGGAAATAGTGAAGCCGGTAGAAACAGTAGAAGTAGTGATTGACCCGGATGCTGCAGGAGAAGATGGGACAATGGTGGAGGAGGGGCAGCTGATTGCGGTGGAGCGGTCTTCCCTGACTGATGAGACCTCAGAGCAGGTGACACGATGGGCCGCGGCGTTGGAAGGTTATCGCAAAGAGCAGGTTCGGCTAGGAATACCATACGGTAAGAAACGCCTTCACCAGAATCCCATTAGCAATTAACTTACCATTAGCGGTACAGATCTTAAACGTCTCGCTCTTCCGCAGACCCCTTGCTCTGGACAGCTGATCAGGTGATCCATTGGGCCGTTTGGGTCATGAAGGAGTTTAATATAGACGAGATGGAAATCGGCAGCATCCACATCCCTGGACGAGAGCTCTGCTCTTTCAGCCAAGAGGAATTCCTTCAGAAAGTGCCCAACGGCGAGATACTGTGGAGCCACCTGGAGCTGCTGCGCAAATGTAAGCTAGCTGGAAGGAAATCTAAGCACTGGGACGGAGGTCTCTTATTTACTCAATTCTGTAAAGAGTAACTACTTGTATTTAACTCAGATGTGTTGGCCAGCCAGGACCAGTCAGGGGGGGACGCCACCGTCACTATTGATCAACGTAAGTAAACTGGCCTGTGTTTGTGTTACTGACATAACGTAGGGTCTGATGAGGTTTTAAAAAATCAAAAACTTTAATTTCTATTTTTCTTTAACGTTTTAAACCTGTCCTTTCACTTAAAGAGACACCTCTGATCTATTGTATTCTGCATAACTTCTCAACAGTTTAGTAGAGAAATAAGCCAAATTGGATTATTTGTTGGAATTGAAATTCCATATTCAGTCATTTAAGTTAGGGATGGGCATTTAATTGCATTTGCAATATAATCACAATTTAGAAAAATGCAATTTTCAAATTGCAGAAGAACTCAAATGTAGTCACATTACAAGAGTAAGACCCTAAATTTCTCCCTCTAGCCATTTAGGTGATGGTATTACACTTTAAGTGGGTTTTACACCACAAAGTAGGGAAGAGAGAGTTGTAGCTAGCATGCAGATCCATGCATGATAGTAGAACTAAGAACTTTTTAACACAAAGGTTACAGCAAAGTAAAGCAACTATGGATTATGGTCTAAATGTTTGTTTCATGCAAAGAAAATCCCTAGAAAATTGTAATATTGTTTGGAAATAATAGTTTAGCTTTTTGGCAAAATCATTCAGCCATAATTTAAATGGACTTTTGCTATAATTCATATGACTCATACATGTATATTATGTGGATATTCTCATCTACTAAACAACAACATAATCATGTTTGACCAAACTTTACTGATACTTTACTATCAAAATAAATAAATTGCATTCAAACACTCAATTTGTTAGAAATAAATATTCAGCAGCAAAACTTAACAGGATCCAAACAGTTTTGCTGACATGTCTGCGTCACTGTGGTGGGTTCACGTATTTATGCAAACTGTCGTGTGCGACTCTGCAGCTGTTCAAATAATTCCAGCCCAAGTCAGCACCCCTACTGCTATAAAAGTACTGAAACACAACCGGGGCCCCAGAGCACCCCGAATTTCAGGAGAGGAGCGCAGTTCACCCGGCAACCGCACAGGTTGGTCACCACATATCACAGAAAGCTCAGCATTTTATATTTTATGTAACCAAGATTTCTTTTAAATGAATTTGATTGGTTTTATACTATTTATCACATTTAAATACCTGACTTAAGAGCCTTGTCGATTAGTTGCAGGAACTATAATTCCTATAATTTATTACAAAAATAGTTAAAACCTTATTTCCCTTGTGCGATGGCCGTCAGGTAACAACGGTCAGATCCAGTTGTGGCAGTTCCTGCTGGAGCTTCTGACGGACAAAGACGCCAGAGACTGCATCTCTTGGGTTGGCGAGGAGGGAGAGTTCAAGCTCAACCAGCCGGAGCTTGTGGCACAGAAATGGGGCCAACGCAAGAACAAGCCAACAATGAACTATGAGAAGCTCAGCAGAGCCCTGAGGTTTGTTTCTCCTCATTGATATCATGTCTTGTTTCCTCCGGGGTCTATGATTTTATTAAGTAACATCTTAAATATATTGATTAATTCATTGATTCCTCTTCTGTTATATATCTATTTAGACATGCACTGCACTGCATAATTAATTTCTTTATTGAGAAACCGTTTCAACTTGGGACATAACCAAAACATGTGCATGAGGTCAGCAGGAGACTGGTTACATCTATCACAGGTGTCTGCGACGTTGGGGTAGAATTTTGTCAGTGTATGATCTGTATAGTAGGTCCTATGTATTAATTTTAATTGGATTAAACCATGTCGTGCACAGATAGAGGAGATGTGTACTAATTGTAAATTCTAAATATTAGTCCACTGGTCCTTTTCAAGAGTCAAACCTAGATCTTGTTCCTATAGGTTTTTTCATTCTAGAGGAAAGACAGCAGTATTAGAGTCAAGTGCCCTAAAAATATGATTGGCGTCCATCAAGAAAAGTTTATCAACTAAGGTGATTACAGGAAGATTCGAAAGACCCGTGTTTTCCCCCGCCTGCCTTACCGGGCGGGCGGGGGGGAAAGCATACAGTCACCGGGTCGGGTTTGGTCTCTCCGTTCCTGGCTGGCTCTGGATCCAGAGCTGATGGCTCGGTTCAAATGCCCAGTCCGGTGCAGTCAGCAGGGGGCCCAGCAGGAGTGTTGAGTATATTGAAAAGCCTTCTAGCGTTGTGAAATGATTGTCTACCCAATATAAAGCCTGTTTGATCAAGAGATAATTTCTAGTAGAATCTGTGGGAGACAGAGTCATAAAAGTTTAGCAAGAATTTTGTAATCAACTTTTAAGAGTGATATGGGTCTGAAACTACTACAAAGTAACGGATCCCTATCCTTTTTTAACAGCAGAGAAATAGTAGCATCATTTAAAGTTGGGGGTAGATGGCCAACAGACAATGACTCATTATATACATCACTTAAGATCTTGGAAAGAAGTGGGGAAAGTTCCTTGTAAAATGCTAGGCTATGTTTCAAAAGCATAAATTGGCCTGAAGATGGAGATGTTGGGCTGCTAATTTTTCTACCCACTCCTCTTCTATTGTGGGGAAAACAATATTATGAAGTATATTAGGTGAGTTTAACTGAGGGAGGTCAGATGCATATAGATCAGAATAAGATTTTGCAAATGTTTAATTTATACTTTTTGCGTCAGAAAGGGTGGTACCAGAGGGTGATTTTATAGTTGGGATTCGCTTAGAGGCTGCAGCTGCTCTGGATTGCTGAGCAAGGAGTTTGCCAGCTTTGTCTTCAGACTAAAATAATTTTTGTTAGGATTTAAGCAGTTGCTGTTCTGCTTCATTGGTGGTTAAAAGAGCCAGTTCAGAATGAAGTTGCAATCATCTTTTGTAGCGTGCAGGATCTGGGATTGTAGAATAATAATCGTCAACTTCAAGGATCATTTGTGTTAACTCTGTTATTCTTTTCAAATTGGCTTTCTTAAGGTAAGCTGTGTAAGAAATTACATAGCCTCTAAGATATGTCTTGTAGGTTTCCCATAAAGGGCCCCTTGATACATCTACAGGTGCTGGTCATAAAATTAGAATATCATGAAAAAGTAGATTGATTTCAGTAATTCCATTTAAAAAGTGAAACTTGTATATTATATTCATACATTACATACAAACTCATATATTTCAGATGTTTATTTTGTTTAATTTTGATGATTACAAATGACAACAAATGAAAATCTCAAATTCATCATATCAGAAAATTAGAATATTACTGAAGACCAATAAAAACAAAGGATTTATAGAAATGTTGGCCAACTGAAAAGTATGAACATGAAAAGTATGAGCATGTACAGCACTCAGTATTTAGTTGGGCCTCCTTTGGCCTGTATTACTGCAGCAATGCGGCGTGGCATGGAGTCGATCAGTCTGTGGCACTGCTCAGGTGTTATGATAGCCCAGGTTGCTCTAATAGTGGCTTTTAGCTCTTCTGAATTGTTGGGTCTGGTGTATTGCATCTTCTTCTTCACAATACCCCATAGATTTTCTATGGGGTTAAGGTCAGGAGAGTTTGCTGGCCAATTAAGAACAGGGATACCATGGTCCTTCAACCAGGTACTGGTAGCTTTGGCACTGTGTGCAGGTGCCAAGTCCTGTTGGAAAATGAAATCTGCATCTCCAAAAAGTTGGTCAGCTGCAGGAAGCATGAAGTGCTCTAAAACTTCCTGGTATGTGGCTGCGTTGACCCTGGACCTCAGAAAACACAATGGACCAACACCAGCAGATGACATGGCACCCCAAACCATCACTGACTGTGGAAACTTTACACTGGACTTCAAGCAACGTGGATGAAGTGCCTCTCTTCTTTTCCTCCAGACTCTGGGACCTTGATTTCCAAAGGAAATGCAAAATTTACTTTCATCAGAGAACATGACTTTGGACCACTCACCAGCAGTCCAGTCCTGTTTCTCTTTAGACGCTTCTGACGCTGTCTGTGGTTCAAGAGTGGCTTGACACAAGGAATGCGACAGCAGAAACCCATGTCTTTCATACGTCTGTGTGTGGTGGTTCTTGAAAGCACTCACTCCAGCTGCAGTCCACTCTTTGTGAATCTCCCCCACATTTTTGAAGGGGTTTTGTTTCACAATCCTCTCCAGGGTGCGGTTATCTCTCTTGCTTGTACACTTTTTTCGACCACATCTTTTCCTTCCCTTCGCCTCTCTATTAATGTGCTTGGACACTGAGCTCTGTGAACAGCCAGCCTCTTTAGCGATGACCTTTTGTGTCTTGCCCTCCTTGTGCAAGGTGTCGATGGTCGTCTTTTGGACAACTGTCAAGTCAGCAGTCTTCCCCATGATTGTGTAGCCTATAGAACTAGACTGAAAGACCATTTAAAGGCTTTTGCAGGTGGTTTGAGTTAATTAGCTGATTAGAGTGTGGCACCAGGGGCCATCAATTTTGAACCTTTTCACAATATTCTAATTTTCTGATATGATGAATTTGAGATTTTCATTTGTTGTCATTTGTAATCATCAAAATTAAACAAAATAAACATCTGAAATATATGAGTTTGTATGTAATGTATGAATATAATATAAAAGTTTCACTTTTTAAATGGAATTACTGAAATCAATCTACTTTTTCATGATATTCTAATTTTATGACCAGCACCTGTAGAGTGTCATTTATTGTAAAAAAAAAAAAAAATACTTGAGAGGTGGTTGTTGCATGTTCAACAAAGGTCATTAGCTAGTAGAATCAATTTAAAGCTCCATCGTTTCGTCTCTAAGTCGGAAAAAGAATGTTTATAGAGAAGTGGGAGCATGATCTGAAATTATTATACTATGGTTGCCACATGAGCATATATTAGAAATTAATCTGTTAGCTAAGAGAAAATAAGTCTATTCTGACAGATGGGGAAAAAAAGGAAAATAATTTTTTGTCTGGAAACCTCCATGGATCTGAAAAACCCAGCTTTGATGCAGTGGATCAAAGTAGTTTGGCTGACTTTGTAAGGGAGTATGGTCTGATTAAAGATCTGTCTAAGTTAGGATGCTGAACATCCTAACTTTATAATTACATAGATGTGAAAAACTTGGATATGAACTTATCATCATCCCAATTTGGTGCATAAACACTGTCTAGGGTGACAGGGGTGTCCTGATACTATAACAAACCTACCAGACCATATTGAATGTTGCTTTAATACTGGGATTTTAAACCTCAATTATTTTGAACATACTATGTGAATCCCTAAAAGGTGTTGAGGTTAGATAGCCATGGTGTGTAGGAATGAACCTGCACAGGTAGGAAAAATACACTTTAAACTACCTCAACGGTTATGTATCCCTTTAATCAGGTACGAAAAAACTAATTACTTACTTTTTGGTGTTTTTTTTTTTTTAAGCGTATGGCGATCTGACCTTACATTATTTTTCTTGTACATGACTAAAGGATACACGCCAGTCAGGGTAGTTTAAATTCTATTTTTATACAAAACTGAAGGAATAAACTCAAATCTGACGTCTTGCACATGCGTATTGACTAGAGGTATGCTGGTCTGATGGGGTAGGCTCATCTGACACCAGAGTAGGAAGAGCATCATGGAAGCTGCCAATACTGCTGATCCTCACTAAAACACCCCACTAATGGTGACCCTGAACGTAGCTGGCTATAAGGAGTTTCTCCACCATGGACAGGAGAGCTGGTCAGAGCTAACAAAAAGATGGATGAACTTTAGTTTAAGGTTTAGTAGGACTTGGCTGTAGGAACTGACTCCTGTCTAAATTCAAAGCTCTGCCTCGAGCATGCAGCCAGAATAGTATTTATCTTTTACTTTTCCATTGAACCCAGTAAATCCCATTATACCTGGCCTGCATTTCAGCGAAGGTGAATGTTAACGGTTAAAAGTGCTCGAGTCTGTTTAACAATATGTGCTAAAACTTATTGGATTTTTAGAAAAAAAGCATGGTTTACTTTAGCAGAAAAGATTCTAAACATTAATCCTTAAAAAAGAAAAAAAAAAATCCCCACTGCTCATTTTTATTTAGCCGCCCTTCCTCAGAAAGTGCAATCTTTTAAACTTACAGGAAAGTATTTATGGTTGAGGTCATACAGTGTGTGGTAACAATGCTTTTACTGATAGTAGCTTTGCTCTGGTTCAGGTACTACTACGACGGTGACATGATCAGCAAGGTGCAGGGCAAGCGCTTTGTCTACAAGTTTGTATGCGACCTGAGGACTCTGATTGGCTACAGCGCCGCCGAGCTCAACAGCCTGGTGACCGAGTGCGAACAGAAGAAACTTGCTCGCATTCAGATGCACGGCATCGGACAGCCCATCACCACGGTGACGCTGGCTACCACTCTGGATAAGGACAGCTGAAGGAGTCCGCGGCTGGAAACTGTACATTAGGCCAGCCAAGCTGATCTCTGATTAGCCTGGATTAAAAACTTGTAAATACAGTGAAATTCAGCTTAGACTGAGGCAGGTGTTTTTTTTTTTTTGTTATTTTAGCTTTTCCTCAACTACCCAACTGAAGCGTGCCCAGGATGAGAGTGTTTATAGTGAAGGACTGGTGCGTGCATGGCTGAATGAGTGTGACTGAAATCCAAATTAAAAGCTTTGTTTTGTGCGCTTTTTCTGTGTAATCCAGGATCTTTTCCACTGTATATACAAATATTTCATGTTTTTTGATAGCCACGAAGGCAATGTATTTTCATAAGACTCGTTTTGTATTTTATTTAGTGCATTTCCCTAAAGTGTTGGACCCTTTTTTTTTTTGTCCGCCAAAGGGGAATAAAGTGACAAGCATTTTCTAACAGCTTTGTGTGAAATGTAAATCTTTTCAAGACTAAAAACATACAAAAACAATCAGCCAAACATGAATATGTACATTCAAAATTTATTAATGGAATGGGGGAGTGTAGAAAGCTTTTCTTACTTTAAGCAAATGTTTCATCAAACCACACATAGGGGAAAGGTCATTACACGTTCAAAGGAGAAATAAAGCATTTATTAAACATTCACCTGATTAAGAGCTTCAGTTGGTGTCTGTACATTTACAGAGGTGATATGTGTTGTATTTTGACGATAATGCAATATATATAATCATGTCACATTCATGGTAACTTAGGGGGAGTTAAACATATCTGGCTTTTAGGGGCATTTAAACAAATGTGCAACCAAAAAAAAAAATAAAACGATACAGCACTGTACATGTATACACGGCGAATGTAGAAAAATAGAATGGTTGATTTGATGAAGGAATGCATTTGTGGTTAATACAGAACCATCTGGAAAACATCTTGATTACTTTGCTTATGCTGAGCACTGCCACTCCTGAATGTCTGCAATGATTTCAGCTGTGTACAAAACTGCTTCCAGATGTGAGGAATGAGATTACATGTCAGGAACTTCCAGGATTTTTGACAAAAACAACTCCATAACCTGGTCATCGACAGCCGGACATTCTGGCAACCATATATTTACAATCAATACATAAGAGAGTTAAATCAGGAATGATATGCTATACAAAATAAAACTTTCTAAAGCTTGACATTAAAAGGATAGTTCCAGATTCAGAATTGCGGTTCTGTTAAAGGTTATGAACAGTTCATATCTTAGAGCAGATTATCCGTAATAAACCAGGTTAGTTGGTCCGTGAGGCTGAAGAAACTTAAAACTCCAATGTGTTCAAAAACACAAAAGCGGCTAACATTATAAAAACGGTGCAAAAAAATGGATTTTTACATTTGTGTTATTTAAATTGGGTAATTTTTTTAACCTGAGAACCCTTTAGGTGTTCCATTCAACGAAGGTTTCACACTGGAAGGTCATTGGTGGCGCAAGATTTAATATTATTGGCTAAATAATAGAGAAATGCAGTAATATCATTACAGCTTTAAAAGTTGTAATCTGATTTAATCCAGAATTAAAAATCTTCACCTTAAAAACACATGCCCAGCTTTCTGCCTGAAGCCATTAAAGCCATAAAAGTTGACGTTTCCACATATTTTTAAAGACCATTTGCTCTGTGAGAGAACTGTTGTTTTTATGTAAAAATGCTAAAATATAAGTTGTTCTTCTAATTCACCATGGATGACATGCAGCTAATATTAGCTGAGTGATCTACAGCAACTAAGACATTAACTGCTTCTAAAACAGAACCTCATTTTAAAATGTTGAACTATCTCTTTAATCTTTGTTCAAAAGCAAAGATCACAAAGTGCGGCGACAGTCGGCATAAAAATCAACCATATTCATATTTGGTGATAAAAGTCAGGCTGAGTGCATAGAACACAAACAGTACCACAATCTTCTTTCCTTTCGGATTCTAAAACACTTCATATTTTGCACGCCCATGCAGCTAACGAAACAGTGAAGCATGGAGATGAGCGAAAGTTTCAATTAAAGCAACTCTGTGAGACAACAAAGCAGAACAGATTCTCAATACTTCTTTTTTTTTTCCTTCATATCACGATTTCACAAAGAAGACACTGGAAATATACAATCCTGCAAGAATATCTAGAGGGAGGTCTGCTCCCAGGACCTCCCGATCAATAACGCCATGCACTACACTTACAGCTAATCTCTGGCTTATTATATTACACAATAAAAAAACATTAAATACCATTAGCTTCTAAATATTTTGATTGTGGGTATATTTTTCTTTTTTTTTCTCCTTTTATGTAAAATCTACCTGAAACACTTCAGTCGTGCGTCAATGAGCTCTAAGAGCCTCACCATGAAATCTGAGAGCAGATGATGATGTCATTTAAACAAAGGGGTTTCCTGTACAAACACCTTGTGAAGTTGTGATTGGCTGAACGTGCAGGTAAACCAGGGTACCGTTGTCTGTTTGAGGGGGAATCTAATAGCAAAAAAAAAAAAAAAGACTTGATTCCATGCCATTTCCCTTTGGCCTAAACCCCCTGGCAGAGACATGCACAGATTGATCTGATGTGTTAAGCGTTCAAAACCATCTTTGTTGAAAGGCCCTTGGTTCAGCTCCCTGCATGGGTAAAGGGCGAGGGATCAAAAAGGAAAAGAGCAGGATGGTGACAGAGTTGTGCTGAGGGGAACACCTGAAGGAAACGCCACCCCACAATTCTTTAGTTCTGCATTTGCTCGAAGAACTTGTAAGTGGGATTCTCATAGCCGTTCTGCTGCATCTTGGCCAGATGGCGTTCCTCGGGGGTCACTGCAGCGTCCACCTTTAAAAACATGGATATGGGGATTTGTGAAGAGAATAACAGAAGGAAAGACAAACTGGAGCTGTAAACTACCCGTTTACCTCGACTACACCGTGATGGATGGAGGTGTATTGTTTCTTTCTCAGCATCACCAAAGTAATGACAATGACGGTTGCTATGACGACTCCTCCGACCATCAGCCCAATAATGGCCCCCTTGTTGGACCCCACATCCTCAGCAAAAAACACCTACAGAAACACATTCATATGAGAAGCATTGCTCACTAATTAGTAGCACAATGAGAGGAACTGAAGAAATAATGATTTGCTGAATTTAAACATCCATCCGTTTTCCCCCCCGTCACGCTTATCCCAAGTGGGGTTGCGGGCGGATGATGGTGCTCCAGCTGTCTATGGGTGAGAGGCGGGGTACACTCTAGACAGGTGGCCAGTCCATCAACCATTCAAGTACACACTCACACCTAAGGAGAATTTAGAGAAGCCAATTAAGCTAACAGTCATGTCTTTTGGACTGTGTGAGGAAGCCGGAGTACCGAGAGAGAACCCACGCATGCTAAGGGAGAACATGCAAACTCCATACAGAAAGACCCCGGGTCGGAAATTGAAGCCAGAACCTTCTTGCTGTAAGTGCTACCCACTGCGCCACTGAGCAGCCCAGAAGAGTGTAGCTCACTACAAAATAAGAGGCAGCACTAAATAATTTGAATGGTGCTCCCCCTACAGGACAGTTTGAAAATAGCACTGTTTTAAACAGTCACTCTCTCAGCAGCAGGAAGACACATATCACCATCAAAATTCTAAAGAGGTGGTTATTACTGTAAATTATCATATGTAAACCAGTGTGTAGCAGCCTTTTCACTCTAAAGTGTGACTCTTATATTGGTAGGTGAAATGTGTGCCTCTTAGGTCAAAAGTATTTCAATTGTTCTTATTAGGTGATTCAGCTTCTCCATGTTTTAAAGATAGATCACATTTAAATCACAATAACACAAATAAGGTTAGATATTGTACGTTTAAGTCCAATAATAATGCGGTCAGATCTGCATCAGTTTTGTAACTTTATTTTTGTTTTAGGTCTCTTCACATAGTAAACTCCTTGCAACAGATTTAGAGTCCTATCTCGTTCAGATTTACATGTTCTTTCCCTTAGCTCTTCTGACAGTTTTCTATGCCATATTTGCTGGCTCCAACATTTCATAAACCTCCAAACTAATAAACTGCTCTATAATCAACTGCTGTTAGCACAGAGCGAGAATTATGGCCGCTGAAGCTTTTATATTGGGCTGCTGTAAAGCTGTTTGTCTCATGAACATGGCAGTGAGACTGCTATTGGGGTCTGTGGACAGAGACAGTAGGGGGTAGTGTTGTCACGATACTAAACTTTTCAACTCGATACCGATACTAAGGAAAATATTCGATACCATTTTCGACACCACAAGGATAAAAACAAAGACTCCAAAATTCAACAGAAATATTTTCATTAATAAATAAAATACAATAAATAAATACAATAAACAATAAGAACAATGTTTTGAGGTTGTATGCTGTGCACAATATTAAGCAAGCTTGATAAAAAACTTATAAAATTAAGTTTTCCTTCCTTGGCTATGCTTTGCACACATAACAATGACGCTAGCCAAACCAGTTAAAAAACTAAAATAATTCTCAGCAGCTGCACCTCTTACAAAAAAAAGTCTGAAACTGAAAAGTGCACAGAATTATTCAATCACACAGTGTTCTGAAAATGCATTGTCCTCTAATCTGTGCATAAGATGAATGACTGTTTAGGTGCCACTGGTGGTAGCACTGTATCGATACTTTAAAAAAAAAGAGTATTGTAGGCGCCATATGCCTGTTTTATGTATAGTTTGAAATTATTTGTATTATGAGAATTTGATATTTCATTTACAAAAGTGACTCTGACAATAATAATTTGATTTAAAAATTTATAGAAGTTAAAAAATTTTAATTTAAAATGTTTACAGGATGCTGCTTAGTGTGCCTTTTGATGACATCATTTTTCTGCGCCAGGTGCCCAGTAAGGTAACCGTTGTAAACAGACACGGGAGGAGGAAGGTTGGTGGCTCACGGTTTTCTGACCGTGTTTTTGCTTGGGCCATGCTCATATCGTTACTCTGTGGAACCTCAGATTTAGTTTTGTGAAAGTTTAAGAGGTATATTTTTGTATACGTTCGTTTTTTTTGTTATCGCCTTTGTTTTAAAATAAAAAAGGCAAAATGTGACATCAGTGGAGGCTATTTTTTTTTTGGAACCTGAAACACGCGTCAGCCACAAAAGCCCAACCTAACACGGATTTAATTGAAACTCTTGGATTTACCCTACAAGTATTGTATCCGGATACAACGTTTCAGTATCGATACTTTTTTGAATATCGATACTTTTGACAACCCTAGTAGGGGGAGATGACAAATCTCTCAAATGTCTCATAAACACATAGCTTACTATCACAGGGACATTTATGAGGATATGTTGGGGTAAAATTGTTACTTAGTGTTGCTTTAAGTTGAAGTTTCAAAAGATACAGCAAGTTTCATATGAAACCTGTAACAAGTGATGGAAAGAAAATCTGAATGTCCCTCCATTATTCC